AAGCGGTACGGCGAGCTCCTAGCCATACGATTTTCATGCAGAATTTGTCGACCTGGGGGCCCAGGTTGAAGAAGAAGATCGACTCGCTCAGGGACGACGTGATAATCTTCCCAGAGACGCACGTCGGCGCCGACGGCACGAACGAGATCGTTGAGCACCTGGACTTCAGGGGCTTCAAGGCGGTGGTCACGCCGTCGGTCAAGAACAAGCGGAGTGAGTTGGCAGGCGGCATCGGCATGGCCATAAGAGGCTTCTTGTCAGTGACGTCTATGCGACATTTAGCAGCGAAGAAGGAGCAGGCAGTGGGGCTGCGGGTTTTGGACGGCGATTGGGAGCCAGGGCCGATCGACTTCCAGGACATGGTAGCAGCGCAGTGGCGGTGGCGCGGGCAGTCGGTCCTGGTCATCGGCATGTACCTCACGTCGTCGATCGGCATGAGCGGCGAGAACCACCAGAAGATGGCGCGCCTCGCGGCGCTCACGCGCGGCCACAGCGGGCCGTGGGCTGCTATAGGCGACTGGAATGCGGAGCCGAGGGAGCTCCAGGCGGCAGGGTGGTTAAGGCTGCTCGACGCGGAGGTGATCACGCCAACTGACGTCAGCTACACGTGCACGCGCAACCCTGCGCGCATGCTCGACTACGTGGTGTGCTCGGGGACGTTCTCGATGATCGTGGATAGAGTTGATACGGATCGCCATGACCCTGGGGATCACTACGGCGTACGAGTCCACTTGAGGGGAGACTCGAGGATCGCGTTCCAGCGCAACCTGCAGCTCGCGAAGCCCTTTCCCTTGCCAGATATGCCGAAGCGGAAGGCGGACCCGAACAGCAAGCGGTCCAGGCAGAAGGCGAAGAAGCAGAGCGAGTATGAGGCAGGTGCGCTGAGCGCTGCGAGGAATGCGGAGTCCCCGCCCTCCTCGGAGCCCTCCCTCCCCAGGTCTGGTCGAGGCGAGCGGAAGAAGGACGCGGTCGTCTGCGAGGCGGTGCCGCAGGAGTGCCAGCAGCAGGGCGAGCTGGCGGAGCTCTTCGGCGGGAGCAGCGACGAGGACGGGATACTCAGCGAGAATGAGGAGGCCTCGGAGGAAGCTGTCGCCGAGCCGAAGGCGGACGAGATCTTCGACCTGGAGATCGAGAAGCGCAACCTCCTGTGGCACGGGAAGTACCGCACGGCGGTCGCCGAGGACCGCATCGCTTGGAGGCAGCCAGCGCAGTACGTGAAGCAGACGCTCGCCTACACCTTCGACGAGGAGGGGGCACGTGAGCTTGGGGCACGCTACGGCGCCTGGGTGCACGCGGTGGAGCAGTACTACATGTCGTCTCTGCAGATCAAGGCCGAGGAGCGCGGCATCTACCTCGGGCGCGGCGAGGAGGTCAGGTCCAAGAAGGGCAAGACCAAGCTCGGCATCGGCGTCAGCGCCGACCTGGATCAGTCAATCAGGTGGTGGGGCACGCTGGCGTCGTACCTGGTCGAGTTGCAGCGCTGCGAGGGCAAGGGGCAACGAGCGCAGCGGCTACGTGACGACTGCAGAGCACTCAGCAGCACGATGCCTAGTGGCGACATCATCAAGATGACGGCGAAACAGAAGAGGAAGCGCCGAGTGGCTCTCAGCGGCATACACGGCATGTCCAGCGGCAAGTTGCACCGCAAGACGAAGGACAAGCCGAGGTGCGACAATGAGGTGCGCAGCCAGGGCGTCACCGCATCGGACATGGTGGAGTACATGGACGCGAAGGGCGCAGTGTGGAGCAAGAAGTGGAAGAGCAACTTCAGCACGCAGGCAATGTTGCAGCGCCTGGAGCAGTCTCGCAAGGCGGCTATGGAGGAGGACTGGGCGCCCATCACTACCGAGAGCCTCAACGTTGCCATCGACACGATGGCGAAGAGCAAGACGAAGGGCGTAGAGCAGATGGGCGCCCTGGCTTCCAAGTGGCTGCCCCCAGAAGCCAGGGAGGAGTTGCGCATCATCATCGAGGAGGTCGAGCGCACTGGCACATGGCCGTGGCAGCTGATGGTCACGCTCGTCAGCTTGCTGCGCAAAGATGCAGGAGGAGACAGGGCGATTGGGCTGCTGCCCGAAGTGGTCAAGCTCTGGTCAAAGGTGCGAAGCGAGTTCACCAACGAGTGGGTCGTCGCCATGGCGGGGAAGTGGGATGCAGCGATCGCGGGTAACAGCGCTCTCAAGGAGGCCCTCGTTCGCTCCTTCTCCGACGAGGTGATTGAGTGGATGCCAGTGAAGATCTACTCGGTGACAGCGCTGTGGGACCTGGCGGAGTTCTACGACACTCTTGAGCCCCTCCTCATCCTGGACGAGGGGCTCAGGCTGGGGCTTCCAGCTCGCGCTTTGCACCTGGAGATGCTGAGCCACCTAAGTGCACGCCTCATCAGAGAGAAGACGGCTTACGCAGAGCCGATCGCGCCCGACAGGTCTATTTGCGCGGGCGCGAGGCGGGGCATCGACTTCGGCAGGGTCGCGCTTTACGCCGTGCTGGAGCGGGTGAGCACAACGTACGAGCAGGTACGAGTGCGATCGTGGGTCGACGACGTCACGACGAGGATGGAGGGCTCCAAGAAGGAGGTGATCAAGCAGTTGACGGGCGCGGGTGTGGAGTTCGCAGCTGGAGTGAAGAAGTCGAAGCTGACGCTCCCCACCAAGTCGGCGCTGATCGGCAACGACATGGACGTGGTGAAGGAAGTGGCCCTCAAGCTGAGGGCGCGCATGGTAACGGTGAAGGTAAGGAGTCAAGCGCCCGACTTGGGCATCGACCGAGGCCACAGCACCGCGGGCGGCAAGGGCAAGCACGCGAGGAGGGTGGCGCATGCAGACAGACAAGTAGCGCGTACCCTGAAGATGGCGCGCAGTGGCAGGCGCGCCAGAGGCGGCGCACGGGCAGTGGTGCAGCGCGGGTCCTTGCCGCGCGCCGCCTACTCGTGCAAGGTGTTCGGGATGGCACCCAGCACCGCGCTGAAGTGGAGGAGGAGGCTAGCAACGGCCATCGCCCCGAGGCTGCGGGGGAGGTGTCTCGCGACGCTACTCAGCATCGAGATTGCGAAGGGGGACCCCGCGTTCGGAGCCGTTTTCGCGCTGCTGGACTCGTGGATGCACATCATCAGTGACAAGTTGAGGAGGCAGAAGGTCAGCATCATCTGGCCGCGGATCGTCGAGAAGGTGTCGAAGCTGGACCCGAAGAAGCGCTGGAAGGGTGTGACGGGCATTACCAGAGCGATGGTCAACACCCTGCTGGACTTGGGCTGGTCAATGCTGGGGCCGTGGCACTGGGTCTCGGACGACGGCGAGGAGTTCGGCAGCGACGACCCCTCGGCGCTCGACGGCGGCGTGGACACCAGCGACTTGAAGCAGGCGATCGCCAGTACTATCGAGAGGGAGCAGTGGCAGCAGGCGGCCAAGCACTACGCGGGAGGCGGCATGGAGGCGGGCGCGGACATGCGCTCAGCGAGGTCGCTCATCAAGAAGCTCAAGAGGAAGGGCGATCATGACAAGGTCGGCGCGCATTTGGCGTGCATGACGGGCGGAGTCTGGACGAGGCAGCGTGTGGCAGATCTCGGGCTGGAGATCGAGGATGTCACGTGCCCGCGATGTGGCGAAGCACCAGAAACCTGGCAGCACCGCATGTGGGAATGCAAGTGTAACGAGCTGATCGAGGAGTGCCAGAAGTCCAAGCACTTAGAGGAGAAGGCCGTGAGGGGCGTCGAGGAGGTGCCGTGCCTGTGGCTCAGAGGCATTTTGCCGAAGAGCTGGACGCAGATCCCACCCCCACCTGAGCCAGGGACAGAGATGTGGGAGCAGTTCGGCAACCTGGAACGTCTCAGGGTCACTGCCCCCTCAGGCACGCACCGCCCGCCCTCCCAGCCCGTTCGGCAATGGAGGGCAGGGAGTACCGACCTGGGGGAGGCCAACCCTGAGGACGACGGAGGCTGGCTCATTGCTGCAGGCGACGCATCGGGCGGCGAGTACACCATGGACCCCAGGCTGAGACGGGTGGCTTGGGGCTGGGTCGTGATGCAGCCAGAAAACGTGAACGAGCCGATGGTGGTGGCAGGAGCGCGCGCCGCTCTGGGCGGCTGGCGGCAGAGCGTCAACCGCGGCGAGCTGACGGCGCTGAAGGAGCTGATGGTGGCCACCGCCAACTACAAGAGAGTGCAGTACATCGCGGACTCGTCCTACGTCATGCGCGGAGTCGAGAAGTTACGCAGAGGGAAGATGCCCAAGACTCACATCGACCTATGGAACGAGCTGAAGGTGGCCATGGTCGGCAGAGAGCTGTGGATGATCAAGGTCGAGAGCCACATGTCCGCGGTCGAGGCAGTGGCGGCAGGCATCGACCCGATCAGCTACCTGGGCAACTCGTTAGCGGACAGCTTCGTGGACGGCATCATCGAGCGGGTGCAGGTGGCGCGCGGAGACGCACTCAGGGTCGGCTGGTGTGACGGGATCGCCTCGCTGATCAGGAGCAGGGGATACGCGACGCTGATGGCGGCGATCGAAGTGGAGCCGTCGATGGCGCCAAGCAGACCACAGCGCCACGAGGCGTACCTCAAGAAGCAGAGGAGGAAGGAGCGCCTCACCAACACGCAGCACGTGATCGAGGAAGCCAATGACGGCAAGCAGTTCCGTTGCACGCGGTGCGGGAGCCTGGTGCCTGTCGTTGGCGCGGACACAGACAAGTGGCTGGAGGGCAAGTGCGTGGAGCTGGTGCGCGAGCAGGCGTCGGAGTTCGGCGCCTTGTCCCTGGGTGTGCAGGTCGGCCACCAGAGGGCGCACCCCTCCCACCAGCTGAACTACAACGAGGAGCTCGGCTTGCACTACTGCCTCAAGTGCGGGTGCATCGCACGGGAGAACATGCGTTCGCTCGCGATGGGGTGCGGGGAGCTGAAGCAGATGGGCAAGCAGAACCTGTCGCAGATCAAGAAGGGGCTCCAGCCGGGCACGAGCAAGTTCGCGCGGGACTGGAACCGCAAGAAGAAGGAGGCGCTGGGCTGAGTTGCGCGCCGTTTGCGCGCCGCTCTCGCCCTTCGCACTGCCCCCAGCCTGGGGGGCCAGCGCCGCAGGCCAGGTCTTACAAAAAGTCGTCGTCGTCGTCGTCGTCGTCGTAGTAGTAGTAGTAGTAGTAGTAGTAGTAGTAGTAGTAGTAGTAGTAGTAGTAGTAGTAGTAGTAGTAGTAGTAGTAGTAGTAGTAGTAGTAGTAGTAGTAGTAGTAGTAGTAGTAGTAGTAGTAGTAGTAGTAGTAGTAGTAGTAGTAGTAGTAGTAGTAGTAGTAGTAGTAGTAGTAGTAGTAGTAGTAGTAGTAGTAGTAGTAGTAGTAGTAGTAGTAGTAGTAGTAGTAGTAGTAGTAGTAGTAGTAGTAGTAGTAGTAGTCGTAGTAGTAGTAGTAGTAGTAGTAGTAGTAGTAGTAGTAGTAGTAGTAGTAGTAGTAGTAGTATTAGTAGTAGTAGTAGTAGTAGTAGTAGCAGGAGGGGAGAAGGAGCAGGAGGAGGAGGAGCAGGAGGAGAGGAGGAGGAGGGCGAGGAGGAGGAGTGAGGAGGAGGAGGAGGAGGAGGAGGAGAGGAGGAGGAGGAGGAGGACAAGGAGGAGGACAAGGAGGAGGAGGACGGAGGAGGAGGAAAAGCAGAGGGGAGAGGAGGAGGAGGAGGAGGGGGAGGAGAAGGAGGAGGAGAGGAGGATGAGGAGCAGGAGGAGGGAAGGGAAGGAAGCAGGAGCAGGAGGAGGAGGAGGAGGGAGGAGGAGGAGGAGGGGAGGAGGAGGAGGACGAGGAGAAGGAGGAGGAGGAGGAGGAGGAGGAGGAGGAGGAGGAGGAGGAGTGAGTAGGAGGAGGCGGAGGAGGAGGAGGAGAAGGAGGAGGAGGAGGAGGAGGAGGAGGAGGAGAAGGAGACGGGGGAGGAGGAGAGGGAGGAGGAGGAGCAGGAGCAGGAGGAGGAGCAGGAGGAGGAGAGGAGGAGGAGGAGGAGGAGAAGGAGGAGGAGAAGGAGGAGGGTGGCCCCTCCCCTTCCCTCCTGGGAGCAGGGCGTGGCGGTTGCGAAGCGGGGCGCGCGTCGCGAGCTCGATGCATCGAAGGGGCCGGGCACCATCCCGGCCGGGGGCCCCTTGCACAGGGGGCTGGGAACTGGGACCCCCTGCCGAGGGGGCCTGGGGGCCCTATGCCGAAGGGGCCCAGGGACAGATATGTAGCTGCGCTGGCCAGCCACAGCTCAAGGTCCCTGCCCTGCCTTCCTAAGCTTTCCCCTCTGGTGGCCAATCCCACACGTGACAAGGTGCGTTTCAGATTTCGACGTCGCTGACGTTCGGGGCCCGATGACGGTCGGGCACATCTTCAAACAGCCACCTTCGCCCTCCCCTGTAGAAGTCCGCTGGGGACGAATGGCCTGTTGACAGTGAGGCGCGACTGCTCACCACCGTTCTCCGCACCACGAGGGGCCGTGCAACAGTCGGGCCTCGCTGTCAACACGGACCTCGCGGACTCATTTATAAAATGATGCGACCGTCAACGTGTATAATTGCGCAGGCGTGGTTCCGAGTCCATTTGACAGAGGGGTCCGCTTCAAGTTGCCCTGCAGCGCAGGGCCGGCCGTCCATCTGGGCAAACCGCAGCATGAATTTTACGTCTGAATCGCACGGCAGTAGCTGCAGCCCTGTAGACTTGTCGAAAGAATCTACGCCAGTGCGCAAGGAGCTGCTCTACCGCTTCTTGGTGCTTTCCTCCAGGGCTGCTTGGAGGCAGCTGTGGATGGCCGATGCGGCCCTACTGCGGTGTGCCCCCTGTTCCACAGAAGCGCTCTCGCGAATTAGGGACAAGAGGTCGGGGCCCTCACTCAGAAGCTGCCGTGCGCCAGGTGCGTCCACTGGCGCGTCTCGAACTTGCTCGGGATGAAACGCGGGGGGGCACAGGAAGCCCGCCTGACGAGCTACGGTGCCCGCAGGTGCCAGGGGCGTCTGCGAAGGAACAGCGCGGGGCCCCTGGACATACGGCCTCTCGGCCGGAGGCCCCGAGTGATCGAAATCGTCGTGGCGCAGACGGGCGGGGCCAAGACGCCGGCGGCGCGCGGGCTGTGGCGACCCCGGGCCGCGCTTCATCTTGAGCCCAACATGGATAGCGTCGCGGCGGTCCTTCCCGGAGGACAGACAGGCGGGGGGAGGGGCGGCAGCGATCGTACGTGTGTTATTTGTATGTCTGGTGGTTGCCGGCCGCATGGGCTGGCCGAGGCCCGTGGTAATAGCGGCCCCGGCGGTAGTTATTGCCTATGGCGCGCGGGCCCGGTGACCCCGCGCAGCGATGAGACAGCAATTTTCTCCGACCTGATCTCGAAGGGGGCAAAAAAGTGAAGCGATCGTGCGTCTCCAGCCACGCTTTCTGTTGGTCGCCTGGGCCGCTTGAGCCGCGCCCGGGTCCCAGGCGATTTTTCTGGCCCCCAAAGATGGATATTGTTTGTGGCGCGCAAACGGCAACCGCCGCCCGCGCCCGCCGAAGACCCCGGGACGGGACCGAGCAGGAAGGGAGGGGGGCGGGGCGGGGAGGGCGGCGCAGGGGGCAGGCAGAAAGAAAGACGGCAGGGTGTTGAGAGGAGCAGACGGTGACGCGACGATTTGCACATTTTTTCTGGGTGCGCGTGCTGGGCGCGGTCTCGGACAGAGCCGCGGCGACCGGCCCAGGGCGCGCGCCTGCTCGGAACGCAAGCGCGCGGCGGAAAAAGGGGCCATGCGCTGGGAACGGCCCGGCGGGGGCTCCGCCGGCAAGCGCATTACTTTAATCCCGCGCCCCGGACGAAGGCGTTGCAGAAACCAGGATCGCGTGCAGAACAACCTGTACACCCAGGGCAACGGCCATTGACCGGGGCCGGGCGCCGACTCGTGGGGTTCAGCGGCTGTGGGGGCAGTCCGCTGCCCAGTGCTTGTCGTCCTTGGTCCTTCCTGCCCCCTTGCACTTTGGGCAAGCGAGCGCGCGGCGGTTGCCAAGGGACCAGTACGTCGAAAAATTATGCTTCACCGCTCCGCGGTTCGAGCGCAAGCAGTTACGGCACACCTCAGACATGAGTGCCTCGACTGCTCCCGGGCTGGTTGTGTTCTTTTCCGCAAGCCAAGCCTCGGTCTCAGAGACGCTAGGGTTGTTGATGGCAAAAACGTGCAGCTCGAAGAACAAGGCGTCAGCCTCTTTCTTCTTGGCGGCCTTCTTGGAGGGTTCCGCCGCGGCCGGGGGCGGCGACCTTTCCTGCGTGGCGACGCCCGAAGCGCGGTTGGACCTGCCCTGCTCCTGGGCCTGCCCCTGGGAGCCCCCAGACATGTGTCCAAAGGAGCCGGCGCCGGTGCTGTCCGGGGAGGCGTTCGCAGCCTTCGTCTCCACGGCCACGGACCCCAGAATCAAGTCGATTCCGAAATCACGGAGCAGCAGTTCGCTGTCGAGCGCTACCGCGGCAGATGGCTTGATGCATCGCGGCTTAAAACTCTTGATGCATTCGTAAACGTACGGCGTCAAAGCCCGCGCGCCCTTGGAACAGGGCGCCTGCGCGCGAACCGAATCCAGCAAAACACGCGAGGAAACGAACGAGGAAGACGAACCAAGACCCGCGACCCCGCAGAAGCCCCTTTCCCCGACTGCACAACCCCCTAAGAAAGGACGCCGACGACGACCCTGCTTGGCCCAAGAGCAACGCAAGATGCCAACGAGAGGCTTCCTCCTCCGCCCCTTCCCCTTCCTCCCCCTCCCCCTCCCCCTCCTCCTACTTATCTTCATCCTCCTCCTTTCCGTCTCATCCTCTCCTCCTCCTCCTCCTCCTCCTCCTCCTCCTCCTCCTCCTCCTCCTCCTCCTCCTCTCCCCTTTCCAATCCGCGTCCTCGTCCTCGTCCTCGTCCTTGTCCTCGTCCTCGTCCTCGTCCTCGTCCTCGTCGTCGTCGTCCTCCTCCTCCTCCTCCTCCTCCTCCTCCTCGGCGGCGCCGCAATGGCCCAGGGCCCACAGCGAAGCAGTAGCGATCATGCAACATGGGGCGGCGGAGTGAGCGAAGCGATTGAATAAACACACATGCCAATATTCTCCGTATGTTCAAAATCTTCGTTTTGCCCCCACTTCGCAGAGTCTCACATTCCGGGGAATCGACGATTGTTCGTGTCGGTGCGGCCTTCCTCCTGCAGTATATGTGCGTTCGACTGCGTCAAAGACCTCTCTCAATCCAACGCTACAGCCCAGAGTTTTTGATCCCACACAGGCGCCCGTGCACGTAGGAAGGGCGCTCGCGCGCCCCCAGGCCTGGGCGAAAGTCGGCCTGGTCGCCGAGCCTGTCGGTCTGGGTTTGGCTGTGCCCAGTTGCACAGTAGTCGGCTGAAGGGCTGTCAGGCCGTAGCCATGTAGAGACGCTGAACTGCCTAGCTTGGGGAGTCGACTCACGGCGGTCTTTCTCAAGTTGGCTGGGGCGAGAGCGCTTGATTCTGCTGTGCAATTGCAATGGAACGCGCGGGTGCTCATGGGCTGGGTTTTTTGATCGATCGGTCGAGGCCGAGAGCCATTGGCCACCGATGCTGCGCAATCCGTGGGCATCGAGATTGCTGCGGTGAGCTCTGCTGATGCGAACGGTGGAAATCTGTTGTGGCTCGGCCCCCGCTGGTTCAGAAATGCCAGCCTTCCCCCGCCCAGGTGCGGCGACGCGAATGGATGTCATAACCTTGCGCTGCTTCAGAATGGTGCTGATTCATTGCGCCCGCTTGCGAAATGATGCTAAGCATTTTTGCTGAACGTTCACAGGGCGGCGGCTTCTGCGGCGAATGTATCTGGGCACTGCGTGACAAGGTTCTCAATGATACCGTCGTGCTGCAAATGCTTGGCTTTGCGGTGTGCTCACCTTGCGCCCGCTCGTCAAGGCCCCGCCGCAGGGGTGGCCCCTTGAATTGCGGAGGCGATCTGTCTATAGTCGATGTTGTGGCTGCAGTCTTGTTGGGATGTCGACTATGTTCCTGCGGGCCCAAGCGCCGCCTGTGCCCGCGCCAGCAGCGAATATAT